TACAACCTAAAATATTTAAACTACAACATTATTCAGATATTGACACATTTATACATAAGAAGGTGATTAAGGATGAATAAATGTATCATGGTGTAGCGAAGATTCCGACAGAGTTAATGAGGTCATAAAATTTTGTCTCGAATAAATAAAGTTTGAGAGGGAATGTTCCGGAACATTGAAATAGTGATGAGAACTCATGAAAATCAATTAATGCTAATGAAGAAAATATGAATTGAAATCAATCAGTTATGTATGATGTAATTTAAACTTCAGAAAGAGTTAGAATAATGACTAAATAAATAAAGAAATAAATAGAAATAAATGAATAAAAAGGGGGGTTATTGTTACCAGGGTAAAGAAAGATTTATTACTGTCTCTTTTTGTATGCACAGGTCCGATTTTAGACGTTTGATTGCTAATGCTTCAGCGAATTTCAGCAGGTTGGAGCTTGATTGTTTATTAATCACCTTGAAGGACTTCAGTGTATCAACCTCGTGTCCTGTGTCAAGGAAATGTCTTGCGATGCTACTGTAGAATGCTTTCAATCCATTTGATGTTAAACTTTTCGGAATATGTTCTTTGAATCGGACGTAGGCTCTGCTTTCTGTTCTACCAATATAACTGCTTTGGCAGATACATGTAAATTTGTATAGGTTGAATTAATCTTTTGAAGTTGATCAAAATAAGGGAAAATACAATAAATCTAGTAAAGATTAAGAAGAATGAAAACTTTTACTAAAATCAGTTATTAAGAAAAAAAGTGCATCCAATACTATACAACCGAATCAATTCATTACTTATAATAAATTTTTAAGAAAATATATTTACTACTGAATTAAACAAGTTGAAATGTTTAGAAGGATTAGAACTTGTTATCAAATTTAAATAGGTACTTTCTTATCTAAATAACCAAAAGGTCAAGAATGGTATATCACAGCGTGATATATCAAATTTTATAATTCTTAACAAAATAATGAAAATTAAAAAAAAATTTATCCTAGAAGTCTATTTTTGGTATGATTGTTTTCGTTTGCTTATCTTTATTAAAGGGGTATAAGTTTTGCCGCTTTTATGGACCGAGAAAAATATTTATTGTTCAAATATAGCAGGTTCTTATTATTATTAAATCTTTAAAATGAATGAGTCTCAACATATTCGTGAACTGAAACTGAACTCTGTATCAGGAAAAAATATGTTCTTTATTTGTCCTTAACTTGACGCATAAATATTAGATTTCTTCATGAAATTAAATCTTAAAAATTATGTATATATATTCAATGATCACTGAAAAGTAACCACTATCTTGTTTGTCTCATCATCAATGATCAAATCTTGTCAATTAAACTTCATTATCTCCACTGGTCTAAATAGAAAGTACTATGTTCTAATGCTAGATAGTTGGAGGTGATTAGCAGAAAATCCTTGACCTATGTTTTGTATTCCAACCAATGGAGTATAGTTAGAATCTTGAGTGGATTGATGTTCTATGTTGGGTTTAAACCCATATCAACAATTTTTGTCGATAGGATGTTGTGTTTCTAAAATAGCATATGAAGTCTTTCTTGAATAAAAATTGTCATAAAACAGATTAATGACAGTTATTCAAAATATGATACAATGGATTGATGTTTGCAACAGGAACAGTCCAGTAAATCATTAATTTGCAAAATATTAATCCATCATATCAAACCGGACTATACCCGTTGCAAACATCAATTCATTGTCTCACATTTCATTGTTCATGCATTTTTTTATAAATTGCATTGCGTTCCAACTCTTCCTTTCTTGATCTTCTCCCATCTTCTGCTCCCAGACATTACGTTTTTAACTCGCGTCATATGTTACTTATATCAATATAAGTAGCACGCACCACAGTATCATCCTATGTCACAATCGCTAGGATTCTTAAACTTGAATTAATACTTTTAACTATACAAAAATTGATTGGTGTTGAAATTCAAATGATTGACTGAGTAATTTCTAAATTCAAAATGTTTTTAATCCTTATTTTTAACTTTATTGTTAAGTAAAAAGTTATTAACAACTTGATAATGTAAAAATACTCAGGGAAAATTGCTCTACACACACATTGGAATATTATCACTAACAAAGTATAAATAATCCTCATTTAAAGAAGAAAAATTAGCTCAGCGAAGTGTTCTCTTTTCGGCGAATTCATTTTCAAAGCTGTACAATCGCATACATATATTGAATAATTTTTTCTGGTTGGCGTTTTTTTAGCGATTTAGTTTTCTACGGGATGGGGACGCTAACCCCATGCCCAACCCTCCTCCTTTATCCGAGTTTGGGACCGGCATTAGCCCCCGGAGGGACTCCAGGCGGAGTTGCATTCATATATATATAATTATTTTTACAGGATGATAAAAATACTGATAATAAACTTCTCTTAGACATGATGACAGTGAGGTAGAACAAACAAAGGTATTAAAAAAAATTATAAAGCAAGGAAAGTTGAATAGTCGTTTGATTGTTATTGGCTTAAGTATTCTCACTTAAATATAAAAAATTAAAAACACGAAATTCAACGAAGGGATCTCTTTTCAACGAATTTATTATCAAACTGTATAATTGTATATATATATATGAACATTTTTCTATTAAGGTACTAGTTCCGTGAGAAAATGTGAACATGAATACCCAAGATGACGTAATAAAAAGATTGCAATACTAGATTACGTTATACAACCCATAACAATAGACTTAGTAAGTTAGTAATGAACAAAGTAGCCTATTATTTATTAAGACCAAAAGAGTAGTCAAATAAAACTTGAAATGATCATGCATTTAATAATAAGCATGTGAAGACTAATCTGTATGTTACCTAAGTTTAATTAGTACCATCATCAAAAATACAAAATATCTAGTTTATTCAGTCCTATAATGTTTGTTATCATTGTGATTACCTCTAAAATGTTTGTTTGTTTTTTATAACCATTATCTGTCACTCACCTTTAAGTGTAAAACTATTCTATCGGTTCAGCTACTACAACTATTTTCTTAAAATTCATCATTTATTAGATGAACAAATGAGAAAAATAAGCCAACAACTAGAGAGTTTTCCATTTAAGTTTTACAGTATTTGTAAGCTTCTTATCATAAAGCTTGAGTTAATACAAAATTAGCTTTGAGAATTATTTAATTCAAGCAAATCTGTAACAGGATTGTTGACTTACTTACCTACTTACGCTTGTTACTCCTCGTGAAGGAACATAGGCCGCTCGTCAGTATTCGCCATCCAACCCTGTCCTGGGCAATCCTTTCCAGCTCCTTCCAGTTCCTATTGATGCTTCTATTTCCCACCTGTAGCTCTTCCAGAGTTACTGCCAGTCCCAAGCCCGGGTAAAGGAGGAGGGTTGGGCATGGGGTTAGCGTCCCCATCCCGTAGAAAACTAACTCGCTAAAAAAACGCTTACCAGAAAAAATAACAGGATTGTTTGGATAGTTGAAGATTAAAATGTTTAAAATGTTTAAATATACTCATTAGTATCCTTATTTATTATAAAGTTACTTAAATAAACTTATCGATATACCTTATAAATTAAGGTTTTCTTTCCTCCTACAAATTACTTATGAATTAGAAATCGATTCAGTCATTCATTGATCAGAATAATTTCCGTTAAACTACAGTACTAAAGATGGAGTATTATAATTATTTGTTATCAGAGTGTGAATTTGTGGAGATTGTAGTAAATTCAATAGTTGAATTTATGAATTGATTTAAGCTAGACCACCAAAGTAGGACGAAACAGCCATCTAGTGCTTCCAGGTTCTGTATGGTGGTCTAGATAAGATCGACTAATGAATTCAACTTTAAAAATTATCTTTATTTAATAACCATAAAATTTTATTTTAATTCTAATCATTAACTTGTCATTCATTCAGTCAAAATGGAGCGAATTTAATCTTATTTGCCCATTGAAACTACTGTCAGAAACTTTGCCACTGGACAAAAATGACAAAACTTTGTTTTATGCAATTAGTTAATCCATAAAACTGTAATAATACATAAAAAATGTGATTAGTGATTAAGGAGTATTGTCATGTCTCACTTATTTAGTCCAACTTCCGGGATAAATCATAGTACAAAATGAAACTTATGATTTATTTCATTGATTGATTGTAAAATATTTTAGGCAGTTCAATTAATGTAAAACATATGGACAGAATATCTGCAAAAGAAACCAGATCTTTATCATCAAAGAAACCTTTAACGAATTCAAGAATGCTACATAATGAGAACAGCTAACTCATTTAAGCTGAGATATACTTTTAACTTACACTGACAAATTTACTATTCACTAAGCAAATTAAGTTTCCAAGCTCGATGATCTATAATGATGTAAGTGAAAGTTACAGATGAAACTTAGACTAAAGGTAAATATAGAGTTCCAGCTCTCTATTTTTCCAAAGGATATCTGACTGATTTCCAATCTGTGTTGGAAAATTAATTCTAAATTCAATTTTATTGGATAGTGTTTAACCTCAATCTCAACTTCATAGGCTCCATGATATGTATTTGTGGAAAGATATTAAGACATTAAAAGTAAATGACTGAGTATTAAACTATGATTTGACGAAATTGTTTCAAGAAAATTTATTTATCTACACACAAATGTCAATCTCATAGATCGAAATAAAATATACCTTATCAACAGGTACATCAGTGTATTGTATGTCATTTCATTTATAAGCTATCCAAGCTCAGTATTTGAGTATACCTTGACAACAAAACAATATACGATGTTCTACATGTTGCGAACAATTCGAATTCAAAATCAAATCAAAACAACATCTCGTTTTTCCATTATTATTATTTGTAGGTGTTTGATAAAACTTTGGATATTTACTTTATTTAGTCCAGCTTACCTACAAATCATAATGAAGTCCCAACCTTTTTTTCTTTTCAACTCAATAGCTTCAAAGACGATATCGACTTTTTATTTATCTAATTACTTTCTTATTTTTTCTTTCTATTACAGTTTGTCGCTCATCCAAATTGTCAACATCAAATGGAAAATTTATTTTATAGTTTAATGTTTTGCATTCGAGATTTTGAAGGTTTACAAAGATTACAATTTGTGATTATATTTCTCTCATTACTGCCATTTTTGTACATTATCTACTTATTTTTTCCACATTTTAAGGTTAGTTTAAATGACGTTTTGTAATTTTTTTTATCCATAGTTTTGTTTGGATTTGTTAAATTAATATTCAGTCATTACTGAACATAGAAAATAGTACTATACTTACTTTTCTTGTATCAACTCAATGACATTTTAAATAAAAATTGATATTTCATAGATTGAAATCATCAGTCAATTGAAGCTAGACAACCATGGAAAACCTGGAAACACTGGACGGCGGTTTCATTCTAGTATAGGACTCCTCAGCAGTGTGCATCCACGATCCCGCATCCCACGAGATTCGAACCCAGGACCTGTCAGTCTCGCGCCAGGCGCTTAACCAACTAGAACACTAGGACGAAACGGCCGGCCAGTGCTTCCAGGTTTTCCATGATTGTCTAGCTTCAATTGACTCGTGATTTCAATCTGTGAAATTTCTAAAATCTCCACAAACTCCTTCTGATAAATATTGATATCCAAAGTAGGTTTTTAAAAATATCAGTTCGATTAATATGTTTTACCCAGGATAGATTAGACGGAGACATATTTTACAGTGCTATATATACTCAGGATGATCCATAACATACCATTTACAAGAGTGAAGTAACTAAACTGTTGTTTATTAGACACTAACCTTTAAATCATACAGAATAATTACTGATGTCATTCTCAGCTAAATTATGCAAAAATTTACATACTCAAGTATGTTTGTACATTGATCATTCAGTAAATACTAATGGATAATAAATAAATATTGATAGATACCTGAAAAGGGTTTTGTAGCGATTGTATTAATTTAATAGTTGAGTTCATGAATCAATTAAAGCTTGAGATTAAGCGCTCGCGCGTGAGATCGAACGTAATGGGTTTGAATCCCAAGATCGGGATCGTTGATGCACGCGGCTGAGGATTCCCATATTAGGACGAAACGGCCGTCCAGTGCTTACAGGTTTTCGGTAATGGTCTAACACTGATACTGATTAGATTGGTTAGAGTAATTGAATAAATTTGAAAATCTACAAGGAAAACTGATTCATTGAGACGATATCCACCAGTAGATTTACTGTATACCCCAAAATAAGCTTTATGTCAAATTCACAAACCAGACAGTATATTTAAGTAAAATACAAAGAAACGTAAAGATACATTGGCATAATCAGATGTAACTCTCTCAACAATATGGCAAGATGGAATATGACGCTTAATGAAGAAATAAATTGAATTATCTTTTCAGTGCTCTCTGGTTTCTAAACAATTCTGCTCCTGATATTTATTCGTGATAGTAATCATTGGTAAAAAATTCAAGAAGGTAGTTCTACTCATATTCTCCATCAATATTTGAATATCACTGAACTATCTAAGTTTGTTCTCGTATACTTCTTTTGATTAACGGACTGAATATACCAAAAAAAGATAAACGAAACTTGTTTTTAGATGATACACTAATGTTTATCACTCTATTCAGGTTTGAAAATATATAAATTGATTTTCTATTCAGTTGCAATAAACCGAATAAATGTCAAACATTTACCTTCAAAATATAATAGTCATAATACATTATAGGGTTGGATATTATTTAAGTCTGCGTTTAATTTTTAACGGGGTTATAGGTATACACTCCTTAAGATTCTTATCGTATGAAAGAAAATATGTTTATTTCTTCCTGGTTTTAAGTATTACACAAACTAATATCAATCAAGAACAAATACTACAAGTTTAAAATCAAATACCTTTAAGCTCATTAAACTATTCTTTTGTTAAATAACATTCTGAAGGGTTATACTACTAGAAAAATCAACAGCCTTAGATTCTTAATACTTATTAAACGTTATAGTTAATTACGTTTTGAATTGAGTCTTTATGTCAATATCACGTTTAAGTGCATCTCTTTAATTACGACATCATGCATATCCTAGTGATAAACCCATTTAAAAGTAGCTTTTGTAAACATCACTTTTATTTCCAGTGCTTATAGTAAATGTTATGAACATGAAATTTCAGAACTACAAAGTATCCGTTGAGTGATATACAAAGAAACTGGTCTCAAAAATCATGTTTTGTTGAGATTGATAGATTAGCCGATATTGAAGGTTGATTTGTTTGTGGATTAATAATAAAAACCGGAAAGAAAACAACAGAATTTTTGTATAAGCATGAGTCTGTGTTTCGAAAGTTTTTTGTAACTATAGATTGAGTGTAGTGCTTAGGTGAAACTTTGACGATATTTTAAGTTGTTTTGATTTTCATAATCGTTTGTTTCTTACGAACACTTGAGAAGTAATTGTAAAAAGGAAAATCCTTTCATTTTTATTTACAGTATGCAAAGAATCGTTATTTCATTAAGTAGTTCCACAATATTTCAACTGGAAATAACCAGATAATTATAAAACAATGATCTTAATGTGTACAACGTTCAGATTATTTAAAAAAGTTATTACGGACACTTAGTTTTATTTTGGCCGCTTCTCCGCTGATCGGTTTTGATTCAAAATGCTCTATTCCCGAAATACTTAACAATACTTAATCCTCTTGATAATACTGAGTTACCTTTCGTCACTTAATGTGAAAACAGAAATCAACTATGAGGGTTTGATGGATACTGGATATTAACAATGATTGGTATAGCAAATAAACCCACACAGTGTACCATTCACAGTAGTCAAGACGTCTGTGCGGATCAGTCAGCGCGACACATTGTTTAAGTGTTCAGTTAAATATTCAGTTATATACAAAATAAGACTACGATACAGACAAGCCAAACTATTTTATATAGTTTAGATTGACATCATGAATGTATCGATGTTAGACCATCACTGAAAACCTAGAAGCACTGAATGGCCGTCTTGTTCTTCTATGGGACTCCTCAACAGTGTATATCCACGACGAAACGGCCTTCCACTGCTTTCAAGTATTCATTGGTGGTCTAACACTAATCAATTCATGATGTCAATCTAAACTCAACAATCTTCACAACCCTATACTGAATATTTTATGCAGTTTAACAAAAATAACACTTAAAATGTTATCTAAAAGCTTACAATTTTATTGCTTTATACTGAACTATGTTACTAAGTATCCAACTACTTGAAAAATTAGTGAATTCACAGAATAATATAGTAAGCATTATTACACAAACAATTCTGTACCTAATGGTATCCTATTTTTCGTTTTGTAGATGCCACTTCCACAAAGTTTAATATATCGTGACCGAAGTGTTACAAAATATGAAGTAAGTAAATTTTCAAACTTTAGTAAATATTACATAACTGAATAAATCACAAGTGTAATGAAAGAACTCAAAAAATAAGGGAATTTTGTTAATTACGCTTATATAATGTGGGACAGGTATTATTCATTATATAACCTATTTAATAAATCTGTAGACAATAACATTTATTATCAGAAGGGGTTTTGTGGAGATTTTAGAAATTTCACCGATTGAAATCATGAGTCAATTGAAGCTAGACAACCATGGAAAACCTGGAAACACTGGACGGCTGTTTCGTTCTAGTATGGGACTCCTCAACAGTGCAAGTCCACGGCCCCGCACCCCGCGGGATTTGAACCCAGGACGTACTGGTTTCGCGCGCGAGCAGTTAACCACTAAACCACTGAGCCGGCATGCAACGGTGTTAATGTCTAACTTCAACCAATCCACGAAGTTGCGCTACCGTATACCATTGTTTTTAGTGAGTTAATATCTCACAACAGACCTGATTGACCTCCACTGGTCACCGCTTCTCACTAGAACTCCATGAGTATCTCTTGAAGTCAGTCACTAGTGAGCATAGGTTGATTCATATCAGAAGGGGTTTTGTGGAGATTGTAGTAATTTCAACAGTTGAGATCATGAGTCTATTACTCAATTATAAATAGTAAATTTATATTAGAAGCATTCTACCAATGATTATGTAATACGTTACTAAGTTTAACTCAAACAAACAAGAATTTTTCGTTGTTTTTTTTATTTCATTCTTTTTTTTGTTTGCTAAAAACATAATCGTATGAACAATTGTGTTTTTTCATCATTATTATTATTATTTATTAATTGATTTTCTATTGAATTGATTTCATTTCACCTGGTACGGTCAAAGTAAAGTTCAATGTTAAATAATAAATAACTATCTATTCTGTTATCAATTTTACTCAATAAAAATAATATTTGTTTTATTAAGGTAACATGTTTACTTTACGAATTATCGGTCAATTTAAAGTGAATTATCATTATAGTTTTATGATATATATCTATTTGGTAAACTTTTTCCCATGAACTTCTTCTTAATTATTCGTCTGTTTGTTTACTGTGAATAAATAAACTGATCTTTATTTCTCCTTTAGGGTATAATTTTATACCAGATTATATTACAAAACTAGAGAACATTAAGTATTTTTTTTAATGTTCATCTTCTTTGTTAATATGTAATATTCATTCACCCTTTATTTTTCCTTGGAAAAGAAAACAACACATTCAGCTTATAAGATAACAGTTTTTATTTCATAAAGGAACGTAAAAGTTATATATATATATATATATATATATATATATATATATATATATATATATATATATATATGCGGTGAGATTATAATTCATTGCCGACTTTTGAACGACGCCAGATTGACCTTGAGTGTTCACCTAATAACTGAGGATTAAATGAAAGTTATAAACCTGTATGAGGAATTAGAATTATGATTTACAATTGATGAATAATGTTAGAAATTAGATTTAGGGCTTTCATCACGAACTAACATCAGGTATAATGCCAAAACTATTTATACGAATGAATGAGAGACATGTTATCTTATACGAGATTGATTTGTCCAAAAATTATATTCTCGCCATATATGTTTATATTCTAAAGTTTTATCACAATAAATCCACTTAAAGATTGAATAATCAATGCACAAATGAAAAGTACTCACTCATTGAAGCATATAATAATAAGAATGTATAGTTCAATGGAAAATGTTTTCTTTTTGAATAAGTTCATACAACAAACTGTACATTTGCATATATGTAAAGTAAATTTTTTCACCATAATAATAAACATGTAAAATAAATGTTTATCTCTTTCAGTTCTTAAAATAGGCATCAATAATAAAAAGCATAAGAAAATGTAAGCGTGGTTACTATGGAAACTAGACAGTTGTTAATATCATTATAAAACTAAGGTTTAAAAATGATATCATTATTCCTAGTATATTTTATTCATATATAACCTAAAGAACTTTTAGCAAATAAGTTTCTCTCAAATTATTAAAAGAACTCAGCATCGATCAAAACATCATCAGAACTGATAAGTTAAACATATTAAACTACATGTGTCCCTTTTTATAAAATCCAGATAAATAAAATTATGAGGATAATGAACTAATTAACAGTGTAGTTCTATAAAATACAGTCGGAATATTTATTTAGTCGTACTAATTCATATTTAAGTGACATTTTTCGTCTTTTTTTTTCAATATATAGACAGTGATCATATCCTATACTTATGATGATTAACAATAGATTCACTTCGTATTGTTTTGCTTGTATCTTCCGATTGAGCTTTAAGACTGCAATTGATCAGTCTGTTATTAGCATATGTGCGTATACCTCGATATTGCCTTAATTCACAAGCTTTTTGTAAGCAATGATGGATAGTGGCTATCGGTGGAATCCAGGACGCGCGTTTCGTCTTATTTGGGACGATAGATATTCTACTGTTAAGTAATACTGGTAATCATAATAATGCATAGTATTCTGCAATTAATATGTCTCTTGGTTAATAGGTATCTTCAACGGAGATAACTAAATGAATTAAATGACTCTATTGTATATTTTAGGATAATACATTTATTTTCTATTCTGATCTACATTCAAGAGTTCGACTAGTTCTTATACCTTAAAATAATAATGTTAAGCGTCAATATCCGTTTGTTTAAATTTCATTACCCGGTTTGTTTCAATTTATCAATTCGTGTTCACGTTTTTAATGAAAAACAGAAAATGTTTTACTTTTTAAAAACCTGGAGGTCTAGTGAGAAGTGGTGACCAGTGGAGTTCAGTCAGGTCTGCTGTGAGATATTAGCTCATTAAAGACAATGGTATACGGTAGCTCAACTTCGTGGATTGGTTGAAGTTAGACATTAACACCGTTGCATGCCGGCTCAGTGGTTTAGTGGTTAACCAGTATGTCCTGAGTTCAAATCCCGCGGGGTGCGGGGTCGTGGGTGCGCACTGCTGAGGAGTCCCATACTAGGACTAAACGGCCGTCCAGTGTTTCCAGGTTTTCCATGATGGTCTAGCTTCAATTGACGCATAGTTTCAATCTATTTAAAAACAAACATCCTATAATAATTAAGTTCAATGACATTAAATATAATAATCCAATACAATTAATATCAACTTTGATGAATATAGATTTATTCTTATATCATTGGAATTCAATGAGGTTCAATTAATTTCTTAGTAAATTTGATCCCAAGAACTTTGATTATAAGTGTAATAATCTCACTCAAGTATATATATATTTCTATATTTAGATTTATTTCAACTTTCTTAATGCTGAAGAAATATTTCTTTATTAGAACATCATATGTGAGTGAACAATTGTTTTCAATGAGATCATCATCAGGCTTTACTCTAATATATATATATATATATATATATATATATATATATATATATATATATATATATATATATATATATATATATATATATATATATATATATATATATATATATATATACGAAAATGTTAAACTAATCAATGTTATTTAGGTTAATAATCACAATGAAATCGAATACGTCACTGCACACAATAGATAAAAGTACAAGTGAATAGTAGGAAGAATAATAAAATATGATAACAAAAGTCTTATCAATGGTTAAACGTTAGGAATAGAAGGTCAAACATGGGTAAATAGAGTTAAAATGATCATTACAAAATATTAAAACCATTACATAATAATGAATCAAAAGGTTCGTCTAAATTTGATTGAATGGTTTCATATTATTTGGGCGCCGAGTTGATGTGAAAAATTAAAGGGAAAAAATGTATTTGTAAAATGGCGGTCTAGTTTCAATTGACTCATGATTTCAATCTGTGAAATTTCTAAAATCTCCATAAACCCCTTCTGATAATAATCAACATATGCTCACTAGTGACTGACTTCAAGAGATACTCCTAGAGTTCCAATCAGAAGCCGTTACCAATGGAGTTCAATCAAGTCGGTTGTGAGATATCAGCTCAATGAAGACAATAGTATACGGTAGCGCAACTTCGTGGATTGGTTAAAGTTGGATACCGCATCAGTGGTCTAGTTGGTTAAGCGCTTGGTGCGGGACTGATAGGTCCTGGGTTTGAATCTCACGAGGCGAGATCATGGATGTGCACTGCTGAGGAGTCCCATACTAGAACGAAATGGCCGTCCAGTGCTTCCAGGTTTTCCATGATGGTCTAGCTTCAATTGACTCATGATTTCAATCTGTGAAAATAAGAAGTGTTTAAATAATTAAATAATGAAGAATACAGACAGAAAGAGGCGGAAAATTACGGACAAATACCGAATGTGAAAATAATCCTAATGATAACGAAAATAAAATAAAGTCGTTTGTTAATCTATGTCAACTTGTACTTCTGTCTATTATGTACAGTGATGTATTCAATTTCATTGTGATTATTAACCTAAATTACATTGATTGGTATAACATTTTCGTATAGATATTCATCTATATTAAAGTAATGCCTGATGATGGTGATCTAATTGAAAACAATTAATCACTTACATGTGTTGTTCTAATTTTTACAATAGGATTCTTTAATATTTCTTTATTACATAAGAGAGTATATAAACATTATTTGTAATTTCTTAACTAGTTAAAGATAGCATGTTTTATGAAATGGAATGTACTACATAAATTGCAAGAAACTAAATTTTATCACCAAATAACATAACACAATACTACAGAAACTAATGAAAGTTGTTACCATAGTGTTATTTTTATTATAAAATAGATTATATTTTAAAAAAAGAGATTTATCCTAGAAAATTGAATAAATATCACTTAATAATCACTTACCTTAATTATAATGTCAAAAATGATGAATTGAAACTATGTCCATCATGTGGACTTTCAACAAAAAAAGAGGAAAAAAAAGAGAAAAACAGCATAAATTATACACTGTGACCAATTTTCATTGTTCCGTTTTTTTTTCTTTTTCTCTCTTTTCAATAATC